AAATAAAATAGGGCAATGATTAAGAAAATACAAACAGCTAGAAGAGATGAGAGGAAGGACAGATGGGAAACAGTTGGCCACCTGGTACAAAATAGTTAAATAGGAGAAATAAGATCTAATGTTCTTTTGTACAGTAGGCTGAGTAGGGCTAATAACATACTATATACTACAAAAAGTGAAAATAAAAGCTTTTGGATATTTGGCCACAAATAATGATAAACATTTGAGAACATAAATGTGATTCCCTCATTTGACATTACACAATGTATAAATGTATCAAAAGATCACATGGTACATGTAAATATCTTGAACTTTTTTGCCTTAAATTCTTTATTGGTATATTTTAGGTATACAATACATGTACATTTATCATTGGGTACTTGTACCTTTACATGATATATCTTGGTTCTTATTTTTTCCCCTTTCTTTCTCCTCCCTTCAGCCCTTCCATTCTTCCCTTTTTACAGAGACTTTGTATCCATTTTTTCCTTTTCTCATAATTTTTCCTTTCCCTTCTTTCCTTTCCCCTACCCCTCTGAGGCCCCCTACCACTTTGGAACTTTTCTTCCTATTTCACACTATCAATTATTCATTTTAATCATTATTCACACTTTCAGTTTCTCACACCAGAGAAACTATTCAGTTTTTACACATGTGTCCTATTTATTTCACTTAAGAGTATGAACTCAATGGGCATCCATTTAGGTATAAATGTCTCTAGTTTCTTGTTATTTATGGCTCAGTAGTACTCCATTTTAATAAAAAATCCTCTTGAGTGAAATATATAAGACACACATATCTTGCATTTTTACTTGTGATTTAAAATGAGTAAATAAGCAACTACAAAACAAGCCTTGCATAACGGCACACACCTGTAATCCCAGCATTTGGGAGGCTGAGGAAGGTTGCATGCCACGCATTCAAGACTGACCTACACTACAAAGAGAAACTCTGTCTCAAAAAACCAGAAAAAAATTGCAAACAAAAGTAAAACTGCATTTTTCATTAAAGAAACTATGAAAACTAAATTATAAATACATTATAAATTAAAACACAAATGTAAAATCATAAACGTAGCAGCAGAAAACATTTGTCATGTCCAGTAATGCAAAACAGCTGTGTTAAAAAATTTCTCTACATTATTTAATTAAAAATCACTAAAAGCTATCACTACATAAAAATTACAATCTGTGTAACAGAAGAATAACACAGGAAAAGGAGAAATACAGGAAAAAATATATTTGTAACAACCTTTCCCAAGACTGAAAATCGACAGGACAAATAGAAAATGTACATCTAATATTGAACATAGATGGAAAAAGACAGCCCCATCAAGATTCATTCAGAAACATTCTAGAGAGGAGAGTACAAATCTTTGACTTTGGGAAGATCTCATAGCCAGATAATAGGAAATACAATGACCATCACACTGAAAATTTTCCTCTACTAAGCATATTTCCCAGAGCACTTTTCATATCCCGATTCCTCAGACTGTAGATAAAGGGATTCAGCATGGGTGTGACCAGACTGTACACAGCAGCCACAATGACATCCTTGTCACTAGTGTTATTGGATGAGGGGACAAAATAGAGACCAATAATTGCTCCATAGTAGAGAGTAACTACAGAGAGATGGGAACCACATGTGGACAAGGTTTTGCAGATTTGCTTAATGGAGGGAGCTCTAAGGATGGTGGCCCCAATGTAGCCATAAGACACCAGAATGCACATGAATGGCAAAGTAACAGCCATTGTTCCTACAATGAGAATAACCAGGTAATTGGTGGTGGTGTCTGAACTGGACAGCTTAAGTAAGGCAGCGAGCTCACAGTAGAAGTGGTGGAGAGTGTTGTCTCCACAGAAAGAGAGTTGGGCTAGGAGGAGAGTGTGCACAAGAGCATTGGCAGAGGACAAGACCCAGGACACAATTACTAGTAGAACACAGAGGTTCTGACTCATGATGATGTTGTAGTGAAGGGGATGACAGATGGCCACATACCTGTCAAAGGACATTGCAGTGAGAAGAAAGCTGTCAACACCACCAAATAATAAGAAAAGGAATTCCTGTGAAATGCACCCAGCGTAAGAGATGGATTGACTATGAGTCAGCATATTCATGAGCATCTTTGGAGCTGTGACTGATGAGAAAGAGATGTCAGTGAGAGCCAAGTGGCTGAGGAAGAAGTACATGGGGATGTGGAGGCGGGAGTCCAGCCTGATGAGCAGGATGATGAGCAGGTTCCCCAGCACTGTGGTCAGGTACAGGACCAGGAAAAGGGCATAGTAAATGCCTTCCTCCTCCTTCTGGATAGGGAGTCCCAGGAGAACGAACTCAGACACACTGCTCTGATTGTTTCTTTTCATGCTCTTTCTTTTTTTACTATACTGATGACACAAAAGGAAAAGACATGCAAAAAATGGGAAATCATTGTGAGTGTTACATAGTAAAAACATACATTGTACTGACCATTGACTTACAAACTCAATTTTTCAGGAAGAATGATTGTGACTCAAGTTGGTCGGTTGAAGGCTCAGGCTTCTCTACACAGCCTTCAAAGTCTCTCTCTGTATACAGGCAGATCTCAGCATCCTTAGAGAGACTTTGGTGCAGGATTTCTCAATTTACCCCATTGAAAAAGTGATGTTGTAATAATCATTCCAGAACTCTTTAAGCGTTTAATCTGTATCTAAGTGCATGTGGAAGCTCAAGTGGCCAGCATTTGGGTCATAAATCAAGAGTTTGTTCATAAGTGAAATCTAAAATTATGTTTGTAACTCAAGTTGTTCCTCTCAGGCCAGTTGCAACTCAAAGATACACTGTAGTTTGGAAATAATCAGTACCTACAAATTCTGATGTGCACATCTCAAACTTTTCACCACAAATGGGGCTAGTGATGATCTAGACAAAAGTCATTTGTCTACCTGAAAACCAACTTAACATTCTTTGGAGAAACATAAAATTTATGAATGATAGTTCACACTAAGTTTTCACTAAGAGTCCCAGACTGTTGACAAAAATCTCAGATTAGGAAATTTGATTAAAGGAGGGTCAGAATCAGTTAACAGGAAAGCAGAAGATTTTCTAAAATTGTTTATCTCTCAACTTTCCTCATTCCCCTAAAGCAGGCTTTGACTAACACTTTATATCTGAAGATTGAATCCAATTAAAAGAGTCTAATGGGCTTCTTTGAGTCTGCAAGATATTAAGATTTGGAGATTTGGAGAAAATATATAATTGGATCAAGGAAATGTTTTGAGAACCTACATCATAACATAAAATATATATGCTTATATCGTGTAGGTCAGCCATTGGTTCTTCCTTTGAGAACATTTTTTCTGCACTCAACATTTTCAATATTTCATCACTTTTCAACAAAATTTTTATGGATTATGAACAAAAGTCTATTTATCTTCCAATTGTAATATTTTTTCATTGTCTTTGCTAATATTAGATATAAAATCAATTTCAGAAAAATTACAGTAAAAGGAGAATTGCTTTGCCTTATCATGCTAAAAATGAGATATTCAGTTCAAGATGAGTAATTTACATGGAGCTTTTCTTCATACTCTCCTGTGAGATAGGGTAGTATTTAGATATCAAAGGCATACACTGGACAGACTCATAAATAGCCAATCACTACTGAATGCTAATTTCTGCTCCTTCTCTGATATGAACCCTTAAGCAATGAGCAGAGATACCTTCAGAAACAAAGCAGGGGAAGTTTTCCAATTTCTCTCCAGAAGACAAGGAGTTCAGAGAAACAGGTAGAGTCTCCATATGCTCCAAGTTTCCTTGAAGCTTGAAGAAGAGTATCAAACCCAGTAGACATATGGATGTACATTAGCTCACAGCTCCTGAGAAACTGATGTGAGTTCCAATTTTAAAAACCATGGAAAGACCAGAAGAGCAATCTCTTATCCCCAGCTCCAAAGTGGAGGCAAATATAATTGTTTTTTTGCCTGGCTCCCTTGAGGGTAGAACTACCTGTGGAAGAAGCCACTGGAGAGTTTACCTTTGGAGGAATAATGATGACACCCATGGAGCAGCCATTAGGGTCTTGGTGAATCACAAAGCTTTTTGTCTTCTGAGTTTACCTGGGGGAAAATGTAGTTCAGAGTTTGTCAGGAAGCACGATGATTATTGACTTAACAATCTAAGTGTCTTGGTTCCAAACTCCATGTTATTTTTGTAATAAACAGCAGAAATTCTCTAAAAATTTCATTCTCAGGCTACAAGAGAGGAAAATTATTATCACTGTCAGCAGTGGACCCAGGGAAAAGAAATATACTGGATATGAGTCTGTCTCTTGTCTAAAACCTGACATCTTAGTATTCCACTGGTGCAAGATTCTCACAATACAAGAAAATAAACATCCTTCATAAACTTTCCACTAAACTCCTTCTAAAATACACCAAAATCTATTAATACATCTCCACTTCCATTTCTATAATGTCTGGGAAAAAATGAATATCATGTGTTCATTTTTTAAGGTAAATACGTGTGAATATTTATAAATGCTATTATTTGGGTCTGTTTATGTTAAAGATCAAGTTGTGCTGGGAACTACTCTTTGCGTGAGGAACTGCTGCAAGATACTTAGACTTCAGGAGTTGTTTCAGGCTCCTGTAGATCATGGTTATTCATGAGTTTCTCTGATGATAATGCTACATTTAACCTGCTTGTTTCCATAGAAGCCAAAGGCTGATAAAGTTTCCTTCTAACACCCGACAACATAAATGCACCTCCTTCTTTCCCTATATGTATAATATAACAAAGAAAAATAAAACATAAATTTGCATCTATTTCTAATTTTAAAGACTGCAGTGTTGTACTCGCTCACTTACATTTCTATGTTGAAATTCCAACCCTGTGTGATTGAGGTAGGCTCTCTAATGAAGTAATGAATATGAAATAAAATTATGTTGATGGGATTATATCATAGGATTAGTGTATTTATAAGACAAGAAACCATTTCTTTTTGCCACATGAAGACATAGCAAGAAAGCAGGTATCTGTGACCCAAGAAGAGAATTCTCACTAAAACAACAAATCAGCTAGAATATTGGACATCTAGCCTCTAGAATGGAAGAAATATATATTTCTATTGTTTAGGTCAAATAAACTCTGGCACATTGTTAGGAAAGCCAAACAATTTAAGTCAGGTATCTGTATATATACAAATGTAAATATATATTTTAGAGATGAATACAAATAGAAATAAAACTATAGCATGCATTTTCTCTGGATAGCAGATGGTTGAGTAATAAGTACATAGTTCAAAGGTCAATTTCTAATATCAAACGATGCTTTCTTAACGGATGATAGATATTGGGAAGTAGGAAGGAAATGTTCAAGTGGAGGGGGAAAATGGTGGTAGGAAGAGAAAAGGAAGAATAAAATGGAAGAAATGGAAACAAAGCTTTTCTAAATAAGGAGTGGAAGAAGGGTTGAAGTGAGGGGAGGGGAATGGAGAAAAGAAGAATCAAGATATATTATGTATAGGTACAAATTCCATATGGTGAATGTGATCATTTGTTACATCAAAAATGTACCAATAAAATTAATTTTTAAAAAATAGTCCTAGTTCTTAATTTAAGAATAACATTCATACACAGAAATGAGTATATATGAAATGCACACCATTATGAATTATCACGAGAGAAACACATCTGAAACTAATAAGGGACATATTTATCATAAATATGCTTATAAGTATTTGTGTCATATTTATCTATAGGAAAGATTCTAAGCATTCTCATATATGCCTTTTATTGAGTATTGGCACTCAGTTTTGATGGTTATGCAAGCTGGACTGGAAGTGCTGAGTCATGGGTGTTACATTGCTCATCTCCAGTTTAATCCAGCTCATTTGACTTTAATTAAACCTTAAGCAAATAGGGTTATGATATATCTTTAAAAAATAGATGTATGGTATGTAGTCATAGAGATGGATGACTGTATAAGAAGAAATTTGCACATCTACAAAAAAACATGAAAATTATGCAGTTGGCATTGCAGATAAGTGGAGAAATGTTAATTTATTAAAATTTTATTTAAGCATTTCATTAGTAATATGAGAACAGGTTCAAATGCACTTGTATCTCAAAATATATTAAAAAACAAATTCATTTATTCCAAAGAATATCAATGACTGAAGGAAAGTTTTTAGAATTTTACATAAAAATTTGGTATACTATAGTGAGGCACATAGGACAAGGGTATTCTTTATTTTTTCAAATTCTAATATATTTAGTTAAACCTTTTTTTATTTATTATTTATTTTCAAATCCCAGTACAAAATCCCATCAGAGAAGAAAAACTTCATATTCTATAATAATTTGTTCCTATTGAAACTCCTCTGACTCAGTTTCTTATCACATAGTATTAATTACATCTGATGCATGCATTTCATTTGAAGGACTAAACTGACTTCGATTTTTCAAAGTTACAGATTTTCCCTAGACTCCAAAATCTCATTGCTTTGATTTTTTTGGTATGGTTTTCACAAATTCATCTATCCAAAGTTACAGCACCCTACATAATAATTTTTCTGCTCTATGTATCCATTTTGCACTCTATAATTCCCTTTCATAAATCCATAGGAACTACTTATCATTTTAATCATCATCTCTTTGTTTTGCCTTTTCTAGGATGTGATACACTTGGCAATATATTATATGTAGTTTCTGAAAAATCACTATTTTATAAAGAAGCTTAGCAGTGATAGTTAAGTTGGATATAGACATGCCCTACAACAGAGTACCCATCTGGAATTACATTTTACAGAATCATTTTGAAATAAATACTTCAGTATATATGCATATATGTTTATATAAATGTTTTTATAATCACTGATCCTGATGAAAAATGCTGAAAGTCATTTTTAAAATAAGAATAAAAAAGGAAAAGAAAAATAATTAAAATGGTCATGAAAACAGCAGATAAGTTTGTTGTGATCTCAAAGTCCATTGTGAAAATATATAAGTGAATTTAACAAAGACAATAGTATATTACAAAACGTGAAACAGAATAAATATACCTTTATTTCATTTCTATGCAGTTCTAAGGCAGGCAATTTGAAGGATTACCGCAAAAGTATTAAAACGCTAATGAAAAGCAAGCAAACATCGGAAATTAAGACGTGTCTCCTGAAGAGAAAAAGAAACAATTGAGAAACTAAAGAATTTCTGCACTATTATTAGTTTTAAATTATGTAAGCTGCTAGATTGTATTTATTTTGATATTGCTACTTTAAAATGGCATTCAAATGTCATATGTATGGACATACATATATAAGCACAATATATTATCATGTATATACATATATCTTTACATTTTACATCTGAAATATGTTCCTTTTTTGTGTTATTTCAAGAGTTATAAAGATTAATGTAAAATTTCCAATAGAACAGGTAAAAACATTGCTGAAACTTGAAAAATGTTGAAAATTGAGAAACATAGGTCTCAAGATTTAACCACAAGCACACAGAAGTTTGAGTTTCACTTCTGCTAAATATTACCAGCTTAGTGTCACACAGCTGGTTACTGAACTCTTAAAGTAGAATTTCCACTTTTATAACAAATACTAGAGATAAAGGAAATAATACAGAAATATCTGGCATTGTAATGAGCCTATTGCAATGAAGTTAAGTAGTTTGCTTTAAGTAGCAGCAGTTTCCCAAGGATGAAAGATTGAACTTTGCCATTTTACATCGAAATATATGACACATTTCTTTCTTTTCATTATTTTATTGATACATTTTATATATAAAATACAGTTACATTCATCATTGGGATTTTGTACCTTTCCATGATGTATCTTGGTTCTTATTTTTTTCCCCTTCCCCTGCCCTCCCTTCACCCCCTCCACCCTTGTCTATTTGCACAGACTTTGTTTACATTTTTTTCTTTTCTCATATTTTTTTCTTTTCCCTTCTTTCCTTTACCCTACCCCTCCCACTTCCCCTACTCCTTTAGACCTTTTCTTCCTATTACACAATATCAATTATAGATTTTTCAAATTACAATATCAAAATTTAGAGGACATCACCACAGATTTTTACAAAATTTAAAAGGATATAGAAAATGTATTACAAAAATCATTTTAGAAAAAAATTTGACATCTTCTATGAAGTACCTTGGAAGACAAATTAATGAAACTGACTCTGGAGGAAATATAAAATTTGAATAGCACCTATTAAAGAGAGTATATTCCTAGCTTGAAAACCTACCCATGTGAGAACAACAAGCTCATATACATTTTGAATGATAAATTATATCAAACATTTAAAGCAGAAAAAAAGAAGGAACACTTCTCCCCTCATTTTAGGAACTCAACATTGTGCTAATCCTAAAACTGGATAAAGATAATAGAAGAAAAATGTATAAACATACATAGAAATTTGTTTAACAAAACAAACTATTAGAAGTCAGATCTGGCAATGTGTAGTAAGTGGTTTTGTTATAGGAATTGTAGTGTTGGTTCAGCATTGGAAGATCCATCCCCATAAGTCATCATTGTAACAGAGGAAAGCAGAAAGCCATTTGATCCTGTCAGCAGTTGCAGAAAAAGTGTTGGACTAAATTCCACAGCTATTCGTAGTAAAAGCTATCAGGAGACTAGAAGTAGAACGGAACCTTCTCAACAGATTAAAGACATGTACTCCATGCTTCCACAAAAATGCCTCAGATGAATGGAAAAGATAAAATGCTTTCTCCCTAAGGTGGGGAACAAGGGAAGATATGTCTCCTCTTCAACTGTCCATTAAACTTTGAAACATAGGCCCAAACCAAAATAGTCTGGCAATACAAAGAAACAATTATCAAAGGATTGGTGAGGTATAAGTAAAACCTTTACATGTAGATGAAATGATCATCTACAGAGAAAATACTAAGAAATCTTTAGAAGCCCCTAGAACTTGTATTTGAATTTAGCAGGATTAGAAAACACAAGGTATATATAAAAATTCAGGTCTATGTATACTTGCTATAAATGAAGAATTGGATATTGAAATTTAAAAGTTATGTAGGAGTACAAAGGACCTAGAAAAAAAAAGAAAAAATAACAGAAGTGTTGGAAGACATTTATTACCTAATTTTTTGGTAGTAGGTTCAAACTCAGGACCTTGTGCTTGTGAGGCAGGTGGAAGAACCACTGAGCTAAATCCCCAGGCCTTATTACCAAATTTTAAGACTTCCTCTAAAGGTACAGTAATCAAGGCAGTGCTGGCATAAGGAAAGACATATAGATCATAGGAATGAAACAGAGAATCTGGAAATAGAACCACACATTATATGGTCCACTGAGTTTTGAAAGATTATTTAACATTAACATTTTATAGAACATAAAGTTAACTCAGGAGCAGAACAAAATATAGAGTTTTCAGCAAATGGTACTAGAACACCTGTTATCTGTATGTAAAAAATTAACCTCAACCCTTTATTCCCATACATAAAGATGACTTGAAAGGATCTGTGAACCTAAATATCAAAGATTAAAACTATAAAACTTTAATAAGAAATTATAAGGGAAAATGTTCATGAATTTAGTGAAGGCAAGAATTTCTTAGGATACAATAAACATGATGTATAAAAGAAGAAAATTGATAAATGAGATTCCATCAAAATTTAGAACTTTAAAAGACATCATTAAGAAAGTGAAAAGTAGTCCTTAAGCAGAACATATTTGTAATACATATAAGGTATGACCAGAATATATAAAGAATTCTTAGAGCTCATTAATAGACAACCCAATTAAAATGTAGACACAAGAAGATGATAAATAGCCAGTACAGCACAAGGAAAGCTGTGCAACACTAGAATCAGAAAAATACTAATCAGTACAATAACAAGATTGCATTATACACTCATTAGGGACAATAAGTTAAAGGTTTTAAAAGAACAAATGTGAACTTAAGTGTGAACCATTTAGAACTTTCAAATACTGCTAATGTGAATGTAAAATGATAAAACCATTTTGGAAAACAAAATACAAATTACTTGTATTACTATTAAGAACCAAGAAGGGTCAACATGCCACAGCTCACAGTGCTGAGTAGGATTCTTCCAGGTCTATGTGTCATAGGTCCCAGTGCAGAGGAGGCTTCCAGGTCAATGTGCCACAGCCACCAACAGAGGAAATAAGCTGCATAGGCACCAACAGCAGCCCCCTGCATCATCAAAATGAGAAGACAGCCAAACAAGCCTCAAACCACACTTCCAGATCACCTACAGCAACCCCAAAGAGAAATGAGAGGGACAATTTGGACTCCCTGAACTAACAACAAAAGAGGATCTGGAAAAAATGAAATCAGAAATAATTTCTCACATAACAGCAGAGATTGTTCCCATAGTGCAAGACATGACCAATAAATCTAGAGAGGACACAGATAAAAAATAGATGAGCTGAGGACCATAGTGGAATCTTATCGTAGGAAACAAATGGAATCCATAAAACAGATGCAAACAGATTTCCAGGAGATTAAAAACTCCATTGAAAGTCTGTGCAACAGAATGAGCAAATGTGAGGGCAGAATTTTGGATATAGGAGATAAGATTGCAATTAGTGAC